GTCTCCCATCCCCCAGGCTGGGTTAGGAAATTCTCATTTGGTCCCTAGTCCCCATCCCGTCCCCTGCACCCCTAACACCAAACTCAAGATGGGCACAGAGATTGAGCCTGATGCATTTGCTGGCTGAATGAAAGGACATAGTTCTCATAGTCCTTGTAGAGGTGATTTTTACATTTTTCACAGCGAGGCCCCCAAATTTGTCCTGAGATTGTTTGTTTTCTGCAGATGGAGAAAATGGAAGTTTCAAGTTCTGAAGTGAAATTAAACTGGACGGGCCTGTCATCAAACCGAAAGAGGTAAAAAGAATTGATTCTGGGCTGGAGGCAAGTGAAAAGGGAGCGTTTTGGGGAGCGTGCTTTGTGCTAAGCTCAGCTGTTATTTCCTCTCCATCTCTTAGTCAGTCCTCGCCACGGTCCTGAGTGGTTATTCTCATTGTCCAGGGGAGGAGGCTAGGCTCAAAGTCTGTGTCCCCATGTCAGAGTGGTAGCCACCGAGACTGGGGAGTCCCCACCTGGGAGGATCCCAGGCCTGACGATCCTCCTCTGCCCTGTCTTGCAGCCACATGGTTGATCTGACCCCCTTGGTCCTCAACCCTGGAGGCTTCCATTTCTCATACCTGCCCGGAAACAGTGTGCACAGACTCCGTTGTCCTGGCTTCCCCTGGTAAGCGCTTCTGAACCACCCTGGGGACAGACACTGTCCTGGCTCAGCCCATGCTTTCGCCTCTGCCCATCATTGTGGTGCTGTGGCCAAGGGCTGGACAAATGTCCTGCATGATGGTGCCTTCTACTGCCAGGAAGGACCCCTATGAAATCGGGAGGGCTGGAGAGGTCACTCCCTAGTGCTAGTTACGGGTTGTATTTTTTTATTATTGAGCCATAGGACGTTCATATATTATAGGCGCAGGACCCTTATCAGATAAATGATTTACTTCCCATTCTGTGGGTGGTTTCTCACTTTCTTGATGAGAGACAACCCACAACTTTTTGAAGCACAAAAGTTTAAGGCTTAGTCCTCCTGAAAAGCAATCTGCTGCCCTGACTGGTGTGGCTCGGTCGGTTGGGCGTTGTCCTGCAAAGGGAAAGGTTACTGGTTTGGTTCCCAGTCAGGGCACATGTCAGGGTTGTGGGTTCTTTCCTGGTCAGGTTGTGTAGGAGAAGCAACCGATCAATATGTCTTTCCCTGTCTTTCTTCTTCCCTTCCCCTCTCTCAAAAATTAAAAAAAAAAAAATGCAGTCTGTCAAAACATATCAGTCAGGAGCCATAGAAGTTCTCAAATTCTCTGATCTAGTATTTTCAATCCTGGAAAATGGCCCCAAGGAGATGAGTGAGGGGGGCAAAGTGTGTATAACATGTTTATGGCAGCGTCGGTTTGATTATATAGACTCAGGAGTTAGAGCTAACTGGAAGCGTAATGAGCTATCAAATCAAATCAGAAGGAGGTGGGATGGAGAGGTAGGAAGGCGACTGATTTCTGGCTTACAGAGAGGGGGCATGGCCAGCAAACCCTGTCGCCCTGTTGTTACAAAGCAAAATGTAAAGTAAAGCATTACTGAGCCCCTCAGGTCCTCGCAGAATAGTGGGGCCACACAGCAGGGCTGGGTCGTCATCAGGGCATTTCTGTCAAGATATCCTCTAGCTTTTTCTAGGCCTAGTTTTAAAAACCTATGATTTAGTTAGACAGTGTCTTTTTATTCATCTTGTTTTTTTTTCACTTGGCCCTGGTGAGTAGTATACTTCTTGACAGCCTTTTGAACACAGGTCTCCTTGGTTGTGTAATAAACATCCAGGGCATGTAGGGCCATCGCTTACTCAACTCCACTGGAAGCTACAGAAGGTGCTTCCAGTGTGTCCCTAGGTTAGCGCTTAGATGAACATCTTTATGTGCTAAGCCATTCCTGAATTTCAGATTAATTTTCTGAAGGAGAATTGCAAGAGAAAGGGTATGAATGGTATTCAAAAGAGCTACCTTTTTTTCAGATTCTAAAACAATATGTCTTCGCTATAGACAATTTGAACACGGCACCAAAAAAGACACCAAACGCTCTGACTCCCACCACCAGCAATAACTGCTGTCGCCTTATATCTGTCTTTTGGTGTAGGCTGCTTCCTGTGGACACATGTGTATGTATACATTCAGGAGCTTGTCACATCTCCGGGAACGTCCTGTTTGGCTGTTTTGTAGCCAGCTCTTGAATGTGTTTCTTCTCATGTCATGAAAAATGCCTTTAAACTCACCAATAATAATAGATGCAGATACTCCATTGCATGGGTGGAACATCATTTACTTAACCATTCTTGCTTGCTGAAATATTTCACTAATGGGGACAATTTTTTAAAAGAAATATTTTATTTATTTATTTTTAGAGAGAGGGGAAGGGAGGGAGAAAGAGAGGGAGAGAAACATCAGCTGGCTGTCTCTCACATGCGCCCCAACCAGGGACTGAACCCACAACCCAAGCGTGTGCCCTGACCCAGAATTGAACTGGCGACCTTTCGCTTTCCAGGATAACACCCAACCAACTGGGCCACACTGGTCAGGGCAATGGGGACAATTTTTAGGCTCTTGTTACAGATTGATTTCTGAATGAGCCATCTTGTGATGCCATCACCAAAAATAGGTTATTTTTAATTGGTTTAAAAAAATTTACAAATGCAGAACATATTCCATGGGAAAAAAATTCACAATGTAGAAATACATACATAAAATAAGTCCCCTGCTATTAAGTGTCCACTGCTAAGAGTTTCATGTGTGCCCTTCCAACACGTACACACACACGTTAATTTTTTAACCAGATAAGGATCATATTGTATGTACTTCTCAGCAACTTGTTTTTTTCCATTATGGCATCATTGGGGTGTCTTTACTTGTTGGGATATAGAGACCTACCTCATTCCTTAAACAGTTCCAGAATAGTCCACTGCATGGCTATATCTTGGTTCCTGGTAGATGTTTAGATGTTTCCAGGTTTTCATAATCACAGCACTGCTACAATGAGCAGCATTCAACAAACATTCTTGGGAGAGATTTCTGGAATTATAAATGCATATAGAGCCATCCCATGGCCTGGGGGGCCACTTGTCATGTGTACTCCTGATGGCCCTGTGTGCTGGTGTCCGACCTCTTGGACGTGTCTCGGCTGTCTCCTGCACAGGGACTCATCGTGTAGTGACCCCCCCAACACCAAGGAGACACCATCCCCTCCTGTGAAGGCCTCCATTTTCACTCCACCTGTCCTGCTCAAGTTCCAGCCTGTGTCCAGACCTAAAGACGACTCAGAGAACGACCCTGGCAGTGCAGAGTCTGCGCCCCACAGGAGGGGCCCCTAACCTCTTCCCTACAGACCATTGCGGAGGAACGAATAAAGTTCTCAGAAAGGCGCCTTTCTGTGCTGGGGTCCCTAGGGGCTGCGCAATCCCATGGGCTCCCTCTAGCTTGAAGCAGTTGTCAGTGTAGTGCCATCCTGAGGCCCTGAGGCCTGAGCTTGCATATAGTAGGTGGTCAGGTCAGTGCTACTGTGAAGGCCCCTTGCTTGCGATCTAACACAGGAATGAATCCAGCCCTGTGCGCTTTGAGAGAGAAATGAGTGAGGAGAGAGTGCTGCCCTTTCCTTCAGGGACTCTGTGGCCCCTTCCTTGACCCCACTGAGTTGGGAAGTCTACCTTTCTTTCTACATCTGGCCCCTAAACACAAGCCTTATCTGGGGGCAAGTTCACAAACAGTGATTCATTCTCTCCCTAGAGGAAAATGAGCTGGTGTGTCAATTTCCACCCTGGGCCCCCCGCTAAGGAATTTCAAAGATAGTGACTCCAGTTGTTGCCTCACACGCTGACCTGACAATCAAACCTGCATGTGAAATGCAAGTCCTCACAAAATTCTTGATGATTGCCGGACATTTGCAGATATTCATTGAGCCATTGTGTGCGCCCTGCAATTTGCTTGGGACTGGAGATAATAAACCAAGCAGTTGGGGTCCCTTCCCTTAAGGATCATACATCCCATCCTCGTGTGTGTGTGTGTGTGTGTGTGTGTGTGTGTGTGAGAGAGAGAGAGAGAGAGAGAAACCAGTATATAGATCAAATTAATACAGGATTACAAGATATGATAAGCCCCTTGGGAGCTGCAATGGAGATGTATTGGGTGCGTGGACAGGGAAGGTCTCTTAGAGGAGGTGACATTTATGTTGAAACCTAGAAATGAGGAGCCAGCCATGAGATGAGGTAAGAAAGGCAAGGATAACAGGCGTTGGGTGACTAGGGAGATCGCGGTTTGGTGGACAGTGGAGACTAGGGGTAGAGGGGTGAGGGATGGAGAATTCTGCTTTGAAGAAACATGTTAAATTTGAGATCAGCGGGTACTCAGGTAGAGATCAGGAGTCTGGAGCACTGGCAATTTAGTGTTGGGAGTCAAAAGTTACAAGTGGTACTTAAAGCCATGATTACCCGGTGCTTGAGTGTGGACCAAAGTCCAGGGCATAAGCTGGGACACACGAACTTGATATGGTCGAGGGAAGGGTAGGTCAGTAGAGACTGAAGGACCAGTGAGAGCTTTGGACCTTTAGGCTTCGGCCACTCAGAAAAGGGTCCTGGAGGCAGTGGGGACCAAATGGGTGGAGAGAATGGGAAGTGAGCGTATACACAGCAAATATGGACGTTGCTTTGGAGGCATCTGTCACTGAGGGGAGCAGAGATGGGGCAGAGGCTGGTGGGACTTTAGGCTCCAAGCAGGCTATTAAAAGGACCTGAGAACCCAGGTCAAACCAGGACGGGTTTGAGTAGGATGGCACTGAGTCGGGGCTGGTCGGGTAGGCGAGGCGCTCTGGAGAAGGCCCGCGGAGAAGATGGGGCTTCGAGGCGCAGGCAGCTCAGCTCCGACAGAACCTGACCCCCATTGAGAACTCCGCCCAAGGATCCGCTGCGCCCTCGGACTGACTTGCTTGCCTCCGGGAACCGCAGTTTCCGGCTTGCCCAGCGCCCGCTTCCGGGGCTGAACCCGGAAGTAGTTGTGGAGTTCGGCCGAGACGCGCTTGAGTGGGTCGTTTGTTGACGATTTTCCACGCTCGCTGGTCCTGCCACAGACACCTCTGCCGCCATGGGGAAGCGACAGCACCAGAAGGACAAGATGTAAGTTGACCCGCAGCCAGGAGCTCCTGGCTCTGCTTGAGTCCCGCTCTGCCTCAGTCCCCGTCTGCCCCGCTTTCTGCTGGTCCCCCCAACCCCCCGCTTTTTCAGAGCTGCTCCCCAGAGCCCCTTTCAGAAGTCGCTTCCTCCCAGAACCTTCCGCCGCCCTCCCCAGGCAGCAGTAATTCCTGCCCCCGCAACCTGCCTCCGAGACCTCCCGGGATCCCACTTTTGGAGTCGTTTGCCCTAATAGACCGTAGGTGCCCGCACCTGGTCGCCACCTTCCCACCGCCTCGGCGCTCCTTGGACACAGCCCCTTTGACTTCGCTTTTGCCCTGGGCCGCCCCCCGTCCCGCCCTGCCCCGCCCCGGTCCGGTCCACTCGCGAGCTCTGCTCCTGAATTAGCCCCTCTCTCGTCTGCATCCCCTGTCTCTCTTATTGTGCTGGTTCATGCCCATCATCCTACACAGCTGCACAGAATCTTCCAATTTAAAACAAACCAACCTTGTCCATGTTCCTCGCCAGCTGCCACTGTTTATCTAACGTGAAAGCGCCGCCGTGTGTATTTGCTGTTTTCTGCTGCCTTTTGAAACCACTTCAGGCAGGTTTTTGGCCCCCAACACTACTCTTGTCAGGATCCCAGTAACTTCCTTGTTGGTAAATCTAGTGGTCAATTCTCAGTCCTCATTTTGTTGGGCTTCTCAACAGCATATGACACAACTGACCACCTCTCTCCTTTTGAAGCCCTTCTTTGGTATTTGGGACACCAAATGCTCTTTATTTTCCGTCTGCCTCAGTGGCCTCTCTTTTGTTAGTCTCTTTTGTTGGATCCTCCTCCCCATTTCCCAGACCTCATAGGTCGACTCCCCTCAGGTTTCTGCTCCGTTTATATGCTCCGTGGGTGACCAGTCTAGTCTTGGCAATAGTCAGCTGATAAATCGACATCCCCACTTGGAAGTCCAACAGACATCCCAAGTTTAATATGCCCAAGGCGGAACCCTTGTTTTCCAGTGGCTGAACTGCTCCTCCCGCATTTTCCCTATCTCAGTTTGCTCAGGGCAGAAGTTAGGGTTCCCCTTGGTGCCTCTTTCCCTCAGCAGTTTTTCCCTCCAGTCCATCAGTAAGTCCTGGTGACTCTTCCCAGGAACTGACCACTGTCTTGCCCATCAGCCCCCACACAGGGAGAGTTTACGTCAACTCCTTCTTGGACCTTTGTAGTCATCTCCTGAGTGGATTCCTGCTCTCTCTCTCTTTCTCTCTCTCTCTCTTTTTTTTAATTTTTAAAAGACTATTTTTAGAGAGGGAAGGGAGAAAGAGAGGGAAAGAAACATTGGCCTGCAACCCAGCACGAGCCCTGACTGGGAATTGAACATGCGACCTTTTGGTTTGCAGGCTGGTGCTCAATCCCCTGAGCCACACCAGCCAGGGCTTTGCTCCCTGTCTTGCTTGTCCTCTACATACAGCAGCTAGAGAAATGCTGTGAGGACTTACATTAGATCATGTCAGGGCCCTGCTCCAAACCCTCCAACAGCTTTCCATCCAGCTTACAGCGAATCCGGAGTCCTCACGTGTGCTGTGGGGCCTCTCATGATCTGACCGTCATTTGTGTCTCCTTCATCTCCTGCCACAGGCCCCTAGGCGCACTGTTTGTCAGTGACTTTGCCATTCTTTGGGAACACAACAGCTTTTCCTGCCTCATGGCTTTTATAGATGACATGTCTGCCTGGTCCTTCTGCATGGAAAGCCCTCCCTCCAGATCTTCACATGACTGGCTCCTGCCCATTGTCGAGCCTGTTAAATTCAGTTCATTTTCTCTAGAGCAAAGCAGGGCTGTTTGTATTTGTTTGCTTGTTTGTCTATCCCATGTCTATTGTGTTTATCATTATATGCCTGTCACACAGTAGCTGTTTAATAAACATTTGCTGAATGAGTGAAATGATTCAGTTATCCACTACTTCCAGAGACTCTGTCCTCTTTACAAGAGGGTAGAAGTAAGATTTCCTCTTTCTCCTTCAGGTACATTACCTGTGCTGAATATACTCACTTCTATGGTGGCAAGAAACCAGGTAAGGCATGAAATCCTTCTGTTCCCCTTGGTTTGTGTGGGGGTGTAATTAAGGAATGATGTCTTCACTATATAATGAGCTTGTGAAAATTAACAATTAGCCCTGGTCAGATAGCTCAGTTAGTCAGAGTGTAACACCAAGATTGTGGGTTCAATTCCCAGTCAGGGCACATGCAAGAATCAGTCACTGAGTGAAGCAACAAATCAGTGTGTCTCTCTCTGTCTTTCTCTTTCTCTCTCTTTCTTCTTCTCTCTAAAAATCAATAAATGAAAATTTAAAAAAATTAACAATTAACAAGAACATGGAAACTATAATAGACAAAAGGGCTGAGGACACAGACAATTCAGAAAACAGGAAGTATTCTAAAAATATGAGAAAATGGTTTTTTAACCTTGGTTTGTTTTTTAAAATGTAGGTTAAAATAACATTCTTTTCCCTATCGAGTTAATAAAGGCAGGCATACCTTGTTTTATTGCACTTTGCTTTATTGTGCTTTGCAGATGTTGTGTTTTTGAGTGGGTCTAGGCACAGTTTTTACAACAACATTTGCCCACGTTGTGTCTCTGTCACATTTTGGTAATTCTCCCAATATTTCAGACTTTTTCTTTATTGTATTTGTTGTGGTGACCTATGGTCTTTGATGTTACTATTGTAATTTTTTTTTTAAGATTTTATTTATTCATTTTTAGAAGAGGGGAAGGGAGGGAGAAAGGAGAGAAACATCAGCGTGCGGTTGCCTCTCATGCGCCTCCCCAGTGGGGACCTGGCCCACAACCCAGGCATGTGCCCTGCCTGGGAATCAAACTGGCGACCCTTTGGTTCACAGGCTGGCGTTCAGTCCACTGAGCCACACCAGTCAGAGCACATGAACTTTTTCTTAAAATGTAATTAAATTGTTGGTGGGAATACATACATGACATTTTTTACAGAATAAATTTTCTGTCTCTTATTTTTGTTTTAAAACAGATATCCCACAAACAAATTTTCGTCGTTTACCTTTTGACCACTGCAGGTAAGAGTTTTGAGAGTTTAATTTTCCCCTTGTAATCGTTCTCTGATACTCAGTTATTTGACAGTGAATCTGATCCTCGGAGAGACAGATAGGGGTCTGTGTGCGTTCCCCAACCCAGATCTTCCCGGAACTGGGAGAAAATGACTTCACAATGAGAACTAAAGATTCTTTTCAGCTTATTCTGTGTCTGTGTTTACAAGTGACAAGTGCATTGTTTTTTAAATGTCATTCTTACGTTCTAAGGGAGGTAGACGCTGTTGTTAAGCCTGCGTTACAGTTGGGAGAGCCAGCGCTCAGAAGAGCGAGGTCCCTTGCCTCACATCGAGGAAGTGATGCCACTGGGGCACAGACCCCGTGGTCTACTCCAGGCTGCTGCCTTTCACACTTCACTTTTGGTCCAGAGTCTAAGTAGTAACAGCACCGGCAATGGTCATGATGCCGTGAGCCCCTTCCCTCTTCCCTGGGAATGCAAGTCACCAGTGGGGGTGGGGAGGGACCCTGCTTTACAGCCACTCAGATGCTTCTCCGCACCCCAGTTGGTGTGTGTATGAACAGAAGCCGGGTCTGCTGGAAAAGTGGGACTAGGACTTGTGGGCCCCAGCACGTTGCGGGCTGTGGGGTGCGCAGGTCTGGTGGTCCCCTTGGGCCTGATTTTCCGAGTTTGAGCCCGGGTCACCCCTGCCCTGTACACACGCATGTCTGCGCAGCATTCCTCCCCACCCCGCCAGCTCTGATCCCGTAGGTCAGGGTGGGCTCTGAGAGCTGACAAAATTCTCCTGGTGATTCTGGTACCTGAGTCAAGGCAGGTCAACCAGATACCGCAGGGCGGCAGGGGTGCAGGGAGGACCCCTGCATCTGCCCGGGGACTCCCAGGAGGCTCCCGTGCGGCTCCCGCGTATGTCCCGCGCCACAGCGAGTGAGATCTTTTCCCTGCTCATAGCACTTACTGTGGAGGGTGAAAAAACGAGGCCCAGAGGTCCTTGGCTGGATTTCTCCCCGCCCTCACCAGGTTTTGTCATCAGCCTTGTGAGAACGTCTTATTCCGACTGGGTATGAATTGATTTTATGGAAATACTTCCACCTTTGGTTCCCATTTCCTCCAAGAGGTCTCTGATCTGTGTCTCACCCGTTTTTTAACTACTTTGAGTTCTCGGTAAAAATGTGTTTTAAGAATGTGCCCGTTAGGTCCCATTTGGGAGAAGGTATGTACATTTCTTGTTGCTTGGAGCTTGATTTGGTGCCAGGTCCTGCCCTGGTCAGTCCTCAGCAGCATTAGCAACACCACTAGGTTGGAGTGGCCTTTTGGGCCAGAGAGAGGCTTCCTGGGCAGCATCCAGGTAGGTACCCGCCCCCAATGTTGCCAGGCTTTCCAGGTCCCAGGGATTGACCTGTGCTGAGCAAACTTACAGGAGACCGATAAACAAGCCAGGTCAGCCTGGGCTCTTGATGGCTAGATGCAAGAAAAAAGGGTATTGGCTCAAGGAAGTCCATCAGGTATGGTCTCCCTTCCTCTGTAGGCTCTGCTTTTGTTTTATTTTCTTTAAAATTGATTTTAAAGAGAGAGGAAACATTGCTTTGTTGCTCTACTTATTTATGCACTCATTGGTTGATTCTTGTATGTGCCCTGACCGGGGATTGAACCCACAACCTTGGTGTGTCGGGATAACACTCTAACCAACTGAGCTACCAGGGCAGGCTCTGCTTTTCTTAAGGGGACCCTTCATGAGGTGTCAGATGATGTGTGGTAGTCTGGGACTCTTCAGTTCCCTCTACCCCCTCATCCATGTATCAGAACTTACCCTGGGCTCCAGGGCCCGCAGGTCTTGCCTGAGTCATGTGTCTGCCCCTAGGAAATGTGGGGAGAACTGTGTGCACGCTCTGTGGTCAGAAGCAGGTAGGGCACACCCAGACCATGAGAGCCCCACCAGAGTTTCTTGGGCTAGGCGAGGGCAGTTCTCAGTACAAAAATGTGGGCTGCCTATGCTTGCCGTATGAGGTTTTAGAGAGTGAATTCCCGTCCTGCCTGTCCCAGGCCACCCCCAGGGACCTCTTTCGGCCTTGAACGTGATCACACGTGTGTTACATATCACTGCACAGGATGTGGAGAGGACTAGGCTGCAGTTGTCCCTAAGCTCCCTCACTACCTTCTGGAGCCCTTCCCTTGTCCTTACTGGCTCGTGCTGGGAGCTTCTCAGGGGCAGGGGTGTGGGGGGCACCTCCGTGCTGGCACCATCCCCAGCTGCGCGGGGCGCCCCAGAACTGTTGGAGGAGTGGCTGCAGGAGGGAGTGCAGAGGGAGAAATCACAGAGGCACGTGGGGGTGGCCTGGCCAGTCCGCTGCACGATCAGGAGTGACCGGGTCCTTTCTCAGTCTCTCTCTGCAGCCCTTTCTCTACCCGGTCTGCACCCCTGAAGGCGTCGTCTTCGACTTGCTGTGAGTACTCTTGCTTTTTGGGCTAACAAACAGGGTGAGGTTGGTGATACCCACTCAGGAAGGGGATGTGAGGCCAGCCGGAAGGCTCGTGGTTCCTGGCAGTGCCAAACCAGGCCACGCTGAGGTCCTGGCAGCCTCGGGCACCCGAGGCGGGCCTCTTGGGGACCCAGGAGGGACTGCCAGCCCCCCAGAGATGGAGCCACAGTGCTGCTGTGACCCCTGGCACGCAGCTTTGCTGGCAGGTGCTAGTGTCCCCTTGTGGAGTGGCACTGACCTCCCTGGGGTGGGGCTAGTGTTCTCATTGGCACTCGTGTTCTTGTTTTAGAATGTTAATGGACTAAATATTTTTCTTTTAATGAAAGAGTCATAATTAGGGTGCATACTTTTCCAGTGCTGTATTTTGAAGCATTATGTTCCGTTTTATGTTCTAACATAAACCAGCTTGTATAATTTTCTCAGAATTATTTTAGAAAAATTGGAAAATATTTCAAAGGAAAAATGGACCATAATTACACTATCTGGACAGTGGTTCTCTGGGATAACCGCTGTCAATATTGATGCTTATATTTCTCTGTGAGTTTACTTGTGGTAACATGGTTGAGATAATACCGTAAAGAGAGCTCTGAATCCGTTCTTTATTCACTTGCGGTGAGAGCTCTTTGCCCCGTGCCATTCAGAATTCTCAGGAGTTAAAATTCTGATGGTGGTCCATTAGCTCACGTTATGGATGTATCGACATTTGTGTGCATCTCATTTTTCTAGTTTGTGTTTATACGTAACTGTAATAAAAACCATGAACATACTTTGAAACCACATTCCCGGAAGTGCCCCCTGCCCCCGCCTCCTTTGGTGAGGCAAGACCTCCTTCCTGGGCTTCTTGCCAGCAGAAGTGAGGCGGAGCAGCGCCTCCCACAGCTGTCCCCAGAGGTGGCCTCCCGGGCTGTGCTGCCCTGCCCACCTGCTGACGCTCTCTGTTCTCTCCCTCCAGGAACATCCTCCCTTGGCTTAAGAAGTACGGAACCAACCCCAGCAATGGCGAGGTAGGGGCTGTACAGGAGTTCAAGTGATGCCAGTGAACGCTGTCCTGTCAACTGTCCCTTGGTTCTGTGGTTTTCGTGTACACACAGGAGTGGTAGAGGACGGTTCACGGGGCACAGTGAGGGGACGGTTTTCTCTCTACACCCATTCCTTTCTGGAAATGTTTCTTACGCATGCACATGTGCACGGCGTACATCTTTCCTTGGGCTGTGGGTGTGGTTCCACGCGGGCATTCCTCTGTGCTTTGCTTGGTGTCCTGCAGCGTGTCGGGGATCTGACTGTGTCAGTGCCTGAGGCCCTGCCTTCTTCTCTGGTGGCTGCGTGTGCCCTCGTGCGTGGGTCCTGCAGGGGTTTGAAGTCACCTGCTGTTGCAAACAGTGGTCTGGGAACACGCTTGTACGTGCTGCTTTGGGCACACGCGCAGGTCATGCTGGGTCATGGCGTGGGTGCATTTTCTGTTTCGGTAGCTACTGGTGAATTTCCTTCCAAAGTTGCACTATTTAAACTCTGAACAGCAGTGTGTGAAAGAAAATGCCTATTTCCCTACACCCTCAGCAACACTGGTTATCATCTGTTTCTTTGATTTTTCTTGCTACTTAAGGGCAAAAGGTTTTTAATTTGTATTTTTATTGTGAGGTTAAGCAGCTTTTACTGTGTCCTGCTTGCAGGCCCAATGTCATGAACTCTGTGTGCTTAGGAAGAGATTCCCTGGGGTCAAGTGCCAGCTTATTCTCCTTCTCCACACCCACTGCAGGCCTTTATCCGAGCCCCGTGGGGTGTCCGCAGCTTCGTCCCCCTCCCTGTGTGCTTGGTCCCATTTTTCTACAGAGCCTTCTCTCCTTCCCTCACGCTGCAGTGGGGGCCCATTTCTTCATTTGTTCGGCTGCCTTCTCTCAGCAAGAAGGTGTTAGCCCGGGCTGGGTGCAGGGCCTGGAGCTGCGGGCAGGGCAGAGGCTGTGGGAGGAAGAGATGCCTGGAGAGGGACGTGAGGTGGGAGGGAGGGCGGGTGGGCTTGGGAATGTCTCTGGAGCAGCGCCTTTTAAACTAAGCCCTGGGGACAAAGGGAGATGGGGGCAGACAGGGCGACATCAGGGGAACCTTGAAGGCCTGGGAGGGAGCTTGGGTTTGTTCTGGGTGGGCTAGAAGCCAGGCTGGGTTTTAAGCAAGAGCGTGTTGTGATCTGGCCTTTGTTTTATTTATTTATATTTTTAAAAGATTTTACATATTTTTAGAGAGATGGAAATGGAGGGAGAAAGAGAGGGAGAGAAACATCAATGTGTGAGAGACATGTCAATTGGTTGCCTCTTGCATGACCTCCGCTCGGGGACATGGCCTGAAACCCAGGCATTTGCCCTTGACCAGGAATCAAACCAGCGACCTTTTGGTTCACAGGCCAGCGCTCGGTGCACTGAGCCACACCAGCCGGTGTTGCTGGCCTCTGCATAGCATCCCAGCTGCTGTGCGGGGGAACAGACCGGGGAGGTGAGGGTGGAAGCCGGGAAAGCAGTCCGGGGGCCGTGCACTTGTTGGGGCAAGAGGGGCAAGGTGAACTGGGACCAGGGCGGAAGCTGGGGAGGTAGGACAGAGGCCGGGCCCAAGGTTGCTCTGGAGGTTGGACTCGCGGGACTCGCTGAGATGCTGTGTTGCCCGACAAGGGGGTGCTCACAGGTAACCTTCTAGTGCAGTCATGTGTTAGGGGAACCTGCATAGTTAGCAAGGCCTGTGCCAGGGGCAGGCAGGTAGAACCAGGCGAACAGCCTGTGCTTGGACTCCAGTCTGGCGGGGCTCCGGCAGGAAGGTGGTCCCTCAGAGTCAGCGCCACAGGCTGGTGCTGGGAGTGGGGCAGGCAGTTGGGCTGGAGGTGGGAGGAGGAGGGCGCCAGGGAGGGGGGGACTTCTGAGTGACCTCTGAGGACAGGGTGGCTCTTTGAGGGTGTCGCGGTGTTTGAGGCCGAGAGGTCAGCCTGACTGGAGTGTGGCCCCGGGCGGGGTGCGATGGCGAGCAGTGTGGGGACAGGCGCCGCGGGGCTGGAAGCTTAGAGCCCGAGTGTCGCGCCGAGGCCCGGACCTGACCGAGGAGACCCTGAGCGGGGGGGCGAGGGGGGAGGCCTGGTCAGCTCTGGGACACAGACCGTGGACGCTGTCGCTGCTGCTGTCATCTTCAGGGAAGCCCAGTGGGACCCAGATGTTGCGAAGCTTGAGGGGGATGGAGGGGGAGGGGGAGCGAGGTGAGTGGTGTCCCGGTTGCCAGCCTAGAGATTGTGAAATGTCACTGGTTTGGTCTTTACCTGGCAGTGGTCTTTTTACCTATTTTCTGTGTGCTGCCTGGACTCCTGCGGCCCAGTGACGTTCTGGGGATGCGTGGGCTCTGTGGGCCTTTTGGGTCAGGTCCGAGGCACTCGAAGGAGAGGAGCTGGGCTGGTGGTGCGCGTTCAGGGACCTGCTGCCCGAAGTCCGCGGGCGGTCCCATTGCAGGGTGGTTGGGGCGCCCTTCCCTGAGGAGAGCCCTTTCTTTCAGGTGTCTGCTCTGCTCTTCCTTTTTTTTTTTCTTTTTTTGTCATTGAAAGCATGACCATTAGTGTTTTTCTATGAAATCTGCCACTGAGAGCCCCTGTGGCCTTATTGGGGCTTCTCACGGGGTCCGTGTTGCCTGCCTGTGCCCCGTGTGATTGGCTTGTTTTCATGGTGCATTTCCTTCCCTGGCATTGAGCGAGGCCCTGCCCGCTGTGTGGGCAGCCAGCGTCCAGGCTGGGACTCTGCTGCAGAGGGGCTGCACTCCGCCTCCTCGGTGGTGGTTTCAGGCCACGCTCTGGCCCCGAGCTCCCTCGTATTTTCTTTTATTCCCTTCCCTCTTCCCCCTACCCCCTTCCCCCTTCCTTATCGCCGGTGCTCAATCCACTAAGCTGTACAGCCAGGGCTCCCTCATATTTTCTTGTCCACACCTGCCCTCATGTCCTCTCGCCTTCCCTAGTGACCACTGTCGTTCACTTGCGTCTGGGGCATTTTTGTTACTTTGGGTTTTGCCCCAGAGATGCTCTGCGGGGCTCCAAGACATGTAGTTGCCCTGGGCTCAGCCTCCTGCCATGTCTAAAATGATGAAGGGCAGCTAGTCCCTAGCTGGCTTGGCCCCATGTCGCTTCTCAGGGCCCTGGGAGGAGCATGTGGTATGTGCGGGCAGCGGGGTGGGGCGGCGGTCTCTGTGTTGTCATGTGCCCAGGATACCTGAGCCTGAAGGACAAGGGCTGTCTTGTGGGAGCAGCCTTGGAGCAAGGACCCCCTTGTCTGTCCTGGAGTCCAGTGCTCACCTGCACAGACGTGTGGGGGGTAGTTGAATGAAAGAGGACGGGATGAAGCAGGGGCGGGGCTGGTGGACAGGCCATGCAGGAGAGGGAAGATGCAGGTTTGGAGCTTGGCTCAGGGGCCCAGCCCCGGGGTACCCACCCAGTGTCCTCTTTGGGCTCTGGGTAGGTAGGGCTGGGCTCCTGAGTGGCAGTGGTTACAGGGACACGGGTCCTGAGCCTGGTGCTCCCCGTGGGCAGCTTTGCCTCCCTGTTCCAGCGTCTCCCCACAGCCGCCTTTGCTGCCTCCCGTGGAGGCCTTCCCGTGGGCGCAGCTGCTTTCCTCTGGCTGCCGGGACTTTGCTTTAGTGTGAAGTTCCCTGTGGAAGAGGCAAACGGCAGCCACATAGAAATGTTAAAAAATAGAGGATCCCATCACTGTTTCTCTTAGCATTTGGGTATATTTACTTCTTTTCCATCACTTTTTAGTATTTTGTCTTTCTTAAATAGTTATACCACAGAAGAATAAGGTGACCACCACCCAGCTGAAGGAATACGTTCACTTTTTAATTTCAGAAATGATCAGTGCTTGCCATGAAACTCTGACCATCATGGAGTGTAAACAGACCTGCCCCTTGGCCTCCAGCCTGGATGTCAACCCTGTGCCGGGGGCTGGTTGCCGGCTCAGAGGCTGGGGCTCTGCCTTGCAGCCCCTTTCCTAGGCTACTCGCCGAGGCTCGGGGCCCGCAGGCCAGCACCCTCACCTTTTCCTCCCGTGAGGCCCGGGCAGTCAGACTTGCCCGGCCTGCCCATGTCGCCCGGCCTCTGCGGTTCTTCTTAACCACCTATTCATCGTTATGGACTGTGAATTCTGCTTCTTTCAGAAACTGGACGGGCGATCCTTGATCAAGCTGAACTTTGCAAAGAACAGCGAAGGTGAGGCATCTCCTTTACAGCCAACTCAAGGACTGGCCCGCAGAACCCGGCCACAGCCCCTCGCTCAGCTCTCTGCAGAACCAAGTTGTTCCTTTCTGATCAGGCTGACTCTTGCTCTTAATTTCTTAAAGATGTAACATAATTCTTTCTTAAAGGTCTAGGCAGTCTTTTTTAAAAAAGGTTTTATTTATTCACTTTTAGAGAGAAGGAGAAAGAGGGGAGAAAGAGAGGGAAAGAAACAGCAATGTGCGAGAGAGACATTGATCCGTTGCCTCTTGCATGCCCCCAGCTAGGGCCCTGGCCCGCAACCCAGGCGTATGCCCTGACCGAGAACCGGACTAGCGACCTTTCGGTTCGCAGGCCAGTGCTCAGCCCACTGAGCCACACCAGCCAGAGCAAGGTCTAGATAGTTTTAAAGCCAGGGTGGAGGGATGAAACCTTGAGTTTTGGTTATTTCTTGCCACAAAGCTGTCGGGCCCTGTGAGCCTCTGGTGGCCTTTGTGGGCACAGGTGGGCCCTGTGGCTCCGGTTTGCTCTTGGCTGGAGGCAGAAGCTGCACAGGCTGAGGGGCCCAGTGCAGTGGCTAGGCAGTGGGTGTGGGCGTCTGATGGATTTGCTGAGTGGCTCCTGGGCTGGGCTTCTCCTCAGCACTGGTCGTAAAGCCTGAGCCCAGCTGGGGTCCTGCTTTATATTCCCACATGCCCTGTCATTGGCCAGACGCCCTGGCCAAGGCGTCCCCCGAGGGCACTGACCTCACTCCCGGCTCCTTGTGGGCCTGCGTGGTCCCCTTGGCCTGTGCGATGCCATGGTCAAGGCTGGTGTCCCTGCTCACAGGTGTGTGTGTTCCAGGGAGATGCTGAAGCACCTGAGGCTGGGGTGCGTCTCATGGGCCTCGGTGAGGCAGGCGCACGGCACTTCAGGGACGGTCCCTGGGGGTCAGGGAGCTCTGCCGGCCCTGGTAGCCGAGTGCCGTGGGCTTCCCTGCTCGGAGATCAGCTGACGTGCAGAGGCCCACAATGTGTCTTACTGAGCAATGTTTACTGAGTGCCTCCCATGTGCAGAGAGTAAAGCAGGCCAGATCTCTCCTGGATTGAAAGGAGCAAGTATAGTAAGGGAGGTAGTTGGACAACAGATCGCTGTAGCACGTCAGATGCTGCTTTAGCCAGGGACAAACGTAAAGCAGGGTGAGGAGAAGAGAGATCGTAGGAAGACTCATGGGCAGGGTCTGAGTGGAAACTGATGGGAAGGAGGGAGGGAGCCACGTGGGGATGTGGGGAGATGGCACTCGGCGTAGCCCTGAGCGAGTCGGGGCACAACCAGGAGCGTGGTGCGGGGGGCACAGTGTGGGGCCTGGGGGAAGCAGAGGCTGTAGTCAGCGATCGGGGCGGAGGAACAGGTGCAGAGCTGTCCTGTGGGGCTTGGGTGGCCACAGGGGGACTCAGGTGGGAGCCAGAGAGGAGAAATGGGATCTGTCCTGATTTTTGCCCATTAACAACTTCAACCTAGCAGTTACCTTTTTTTTCTTTGTTTTGTTTTTAATAGAAAATTTCAGACACAGGAGGGTAGATGGTGCGTGCGGGTCTCCAGCACCCCAACCTCAGTCCCCGTCCACTCAGCCCCTGTCTGACTTTACCTGTGCGCCCACTCCGCACCTGCTTAGGCCATTTTAAAGCAAGTTCCGACATATCATTTCATGCTTACATACTTGAGTGTGTATGTCTAAAAGATAAGGACTTAGCCCTGACCAGTGTTTCTCGGCTGATTGGGTGTCGTCCTGCAAAGTGAAAGGTCGCTGATTCGATTCCTGGTGAGGAGCCATGCCTATGTTGCGGGTTCAGTCCCGGTTAGGGCGTGTACGAGAGGCAGCTGATTCGTGATTCTCTCTCTCTCTCTCTCTTTCTCCCTCAACCTCTCCCTCTCTTAAATAAATTTTAAAAAAGATAAGGACTTAAAAAATAATCACAATACTACTATAACACCTAAAAAATTAACAATAATTCCTTAATATCATTAACTATCCAGCCAGTGGTCAAATTTCTAGAATGCTTTCATAATTATATAGTGTTCAAATCAAGATTATTTAGATGTCCACACAAATACACGTGGTCAATATCTCTAAGTCTAATAACCTGTAAGTGTCCCCCCGTCTTTGCATTTTGTTTGTTGGGACTTACTTGAACAGGCTCCTGGTTACCTATAGGGAGCTGGTGGGGCAGGGGCAGTGAGCGGCAGGAGTTTGTTGCAATATCCCAGGTGACAGGATGAGCGATGTGGCAGGGTATGCGGTGGAGGAGGCAGGGCAGTGTCGCCAGTGTTGGGCTGGGGTGTAGCAGGCCCCTCTGCGTGCGGGGGCCTGGTCTTGCAGGAAGAACAGGAGTTCCCTAGTGGCGCTGGAGGAGGGGGCTTGAGCAGCTGGGCATGGTGGTGCAGGGTTCTGCACACCCCCTTTCTCTGACTCGGGCCTTCCTCTGGTTGGTCTGTGCACGCCTTTCCCTAGACAAGTACCACTGCCCGGTGCTGTTTACTGTGTTCACCAACAACAGCCACATCGTAGCCATCAGGACCACCGGCAATGTCTACGCCTATGAGGTAAGCTCTCAGGGGCTGTGTCCCGTACAGCCTCTCTAGGTGTGTGCTGCTGGGACCCTCATCTGGGCTCTGGGATTGCCCTGGGCTCAGCTTGTCCTTGTGGAGCCACCAGAACAGCCTAGAAAAGGCAGGGCCTTCCTGTGGCCTCTGCACCTGACACCTGGGTAGCTCTTTTGTACCTAGGGGTCCTCCCCACAGTCATCTTCAGTGAGGACTCTTAGGCAGGCCCTGGGGGGAACCTGTGCTCGGGGGGCAGGCTCCAGGGCCCTCAGGGAGTCCCAGAGGAGTGGTTGTGGGCTGGGGGGCAGGCGTGGGGAGGGGAGGCCTGGTTTCCACATGGGCCCTCCTGCTCAGCGTGCCAGCAGAGGGGCGGGGGGCAGGGGTGTGGGCTCCACATTGCGGGGAAGGCCTCTCTGAGCTGTTTTCATGCCTACACCCGGCCATTGGCGGGGTCCAGGCGGCCAGCATTGCCCTAGGGTCTCTGGGGGTGACACCTTGCCCGAGTGTGCATGGATTTGGGGGGACTTGGTACGGACGGGAGGTCTTGTTGAACCTGTTTGCTGTTGTGTAAGACGTGTGTCACAGAGTGTCCTGTGAGGAACCTCACTCAGGGCGGAATTTGAGTTTCTGGGGCTGAACAAGCGTCACCTGCAGTGGTAGGGCCATTGCTTTGGGCTCGGGGTGGGCACACGGAGTCCTGCCCTTTGTCTCACTGCTGGAACGGTGCCGTGGTCGGGGCGGGCGGCAGGCTCCCAGTGCCGGCTTAGGGACAAGCACTGTAACAGCCGCCTTCCTCCTGGCCGCAGGCAGTGGAGCAGCTAAACATCAAGGCCAAGAACTTCCGAGACCTGCTGACCGACGAGCCCTTCTCCCGGCAGGACATCATCACCCTCCAGGTGGGTGTCCCTTCCCCCATTGTTCTCAGGAGGGACCACCCGAGGCCCTCGGCTCCGCGCCCCTCTGCCAGCCCCAGCTCTCCACCCAGCCTCGGGGCTTCCTTCTGGCCACCTGCCTGGTTGCGGTGCCCCAGCTGCTACCAACAGTGCGCCCACCTCCTGCCCTCCCTCCACTCAGTCGTGCGGCCTTCGCACGTGCCGCTTCCCCAGCCTGCCTCTCCCATCTCCCGCTTCGAGGCCTGTCCCTGCTGGGTCCAGGCCTCTCCTTTCTGATCCTAGAACCACCTCGGCATTCGAGTGGCCTCTTTGCAGGCCTGGCTTTCCTCCCACCCTCTTGAGAGCGGGGGTGGTTGTGTGCTCTGTACCCCAGCGCTGGGCACAGGGCATCCCTGATGGTGTCAGAGAACCTTGGGTGAGTTAATAAAAACATGTACTTAGAAAATCCAGGCGTGACTTAGGTGGCGATAATCCCTTCTGTGGCTTGACCCATTCTAATTGGAGGTTGGTACACATTCCCTCCAAGGGGGTGGGCTGGCTGTCCCCAGGGCCTGAGAACTGTGGGGTCTGTGCCTGGCAGCCAGGCTGGAGGGCCACGTGGTGCCCGTGTTCCCTCGAGAAGACTCCATCCATCCTGTGGCTGCTTGACAGTAAGGGACACTTGTCAGTTGTGTGCCAGAGAGAAGCGGGTGCGGCTTGGTGAGCAGCTGGCCATTTGTGCCAGTCTGCGCCCAACCCCTGCTCGTGGCCCTACCTGGGGCAGACCCCTCTCCCAGCCCCCGGTACCCCTGTTCCCTGCTCGACCCACCAGGCCTCCTTGCAGCCACAGGCGTCTTCCCTTCTGGCCCCAGGGCCCTCGTGCCCCCCACCTGTCCTCTGCTGCCTGGGGCGGCCGCATGGCCACAGCCTGGGACCAGCTGTAGCGCCGGGCTCACTCTGTTGCACATGTTCTTTTTGCCACAGGACCCCACCAATTTGGACAAATTCAACGTCTCCAACTTCTTTCATGTTAAGAACAACATGAAAATAACAGACCCAGGTAGGAGCAGCCAGGGGGGCCTGGGTGCCGGGGGTTGTGGGAAAGAGGGGAGCGTTCCCTGGGCGAAGCCCCCGCCTTCCCGGGGCCAGAGTCTTGATCACGCCTAGGACACCAGGCCTGGCATTTCCCAAGCTGACATTCAGCTTTTCCTGTGCCGAGACTGGCAGGACCCTGGCCCCAGCTGCCTGGAGAGGCCTGGCATGGTGGGCGCCAGTCAGGCCTTCACACCTCCGTGCCCCCAGCCTCGTGCGGGACAGGCCTGGACACTTTGACCTCCCCACTCAAGACTTTGCTCCAGGGACCCTCGGAGCTGCTTCCTCGGCCAGGCCCTCGGGTCCAGGGTGGGCCCTGTCTGTGCTCCTTAGAGATTGTAGCTGTTTTCGCTGCAGGGACAGGTGCTTAGATGGGTAGGTGGGTCCCGTGGGGCAGGCGAGTGTGGGCACTGCTGAGCCAGCTGGGCACCACCTCCAGGGCTGTTGGTGAACACTGTTGGGGTCAAGGCTGGGGACAGAGACTGCAGCCGACTCCAGGGAAGCCTTGGTGGGTAGCCTGCTGCCCTTCTGGGCCGTCCCCACATTCTCCCCCTACACGTGCCTGCCTTGGTGTGTAGCGACTACAGAGTGTCACTGTGAGGGGGGCTTGGCCTTTGTTTTGGTCTGGGACTTCTGGTATGGTCAGATCTGGCCTCTTGTCCCTGTCTTGCACATCTGGGGACATTCCTTGGTGCTCAGCTGCTCAGGGCCACCGTGCTGTGTTGTAGATGAAGAAAAGGCCAAACAGGACCCATCTTATTATTTGAAAAATACAAACACTGAGACCCGAGAGACACTGCAGGAACTCTACAAGGAGTTCAAAGGGGACGAGGTCCTGGCGGCCACCATGAAGGTCCCAGAGAAGAAGAAGGTGGACAAGCTAAATGCCGTGAGTAGCTGGAGGGCCACGGAGCTGCCAGCTCAAGCCACCCCCTGTCATAGTCCCTCTGAGCGGGATACATTTGGACGGGAAGCAGCTGGACCCCAGAGCCGAGGTGCCCTGGGGGCCCGGAGGACAGCTGCACTGAGGAGGCTGGGGGCGACAGATGGGTGTGCTGGGTCCACGCAGGGAAAGGGGCCCCCGCCATGAAGGGTCTCCATCACGCTCTGGCCCAGGCTGGGGTGCCTGGGAGGCATGGTGGGTGGATGGCTGCCTGGTGGCTTTGGTGGGGCCACATGACACTGCGGCCTCAGGCATGCTGTGGGAGGGGATGTCCCGTGGCGTGTGGGATCACTGCCCTACAGAGCTGGTCGCTTCGTGCCCAGAGCAAACCCAGGGAGAGAGGGTGGCAGGTTTTGGGGGTGCCGTGGTGCAGAGGGGAGGGGACAGTGGTGCCTGGTGGCCGCCCCCCACCCCTGGGTAGCCCGGCTCGCTGCTCGCAGTGCCCAGTAGTTGGCCCCGAGGCCCTCCGCTGGCAGTGATGGCGCCGGGACGTGTGTCCTGGTCCATCAGGCCCAGAGCTGGCCCTGCCCTCTCCAGCCTGTGGAGCTGGGACTGTGGGGATGGGAGGTAGGGTTCTGAGGCTCCCTCCCTAAAGAAGTAATTAGGAAAATTTGCAAAAGGAAAAAATTTGTTGTCCTTCATTCCACCACAGTAACGTAATAGGTGTTAGCATTTTGGTGTATTTCCTTCTGATGGGGAGAAATCCCCCCTTTTATTTTTTTCCTCCTGCTTAGGATAAAAAAAACATTTCTAGGGCTTACACTCCTGATTAAAAATGTCATGTGTTTAATTGTAGAAACTGATATCAATTTTCAGAAAGAAACTAGGCTCCCGCATTCCTTGGGGCTGTAGGGAAAGGCCAGTTCGGGCTGGCCTGTCCTGTCCCCCAGGAGGATCTTGGTGATACCTTTGGGTGTTGGCCAGGGACACCCTCCTGGAGGGGAGGTGCCAAGCAGGGGCCTGAGCACGGGTACAGCGGGGTCCCAGGCCCCCAGCCCACCAGCCTCCCAGGGCGCCGCTGACATGCCTGCGTGTTTCTCTTGGCAGGCCCACTATTCCACTGGGAAGGTTAGCGCCTCCTTCACCTCCACCGCCATGGTGCCTGAGACCACACACGAAGCAGGTAGCTGCCTCCCCTCGTCGCCAGGGGTGCTGCTCAGTGGGGGCCGTGGCGGGTGCCCTGCCTCACATTGCTGTGTCGTGTCTGGCCTTTGTGGGCTCTCAGGCAGCTCAGGAACAGTCGGGGGGGGTGGGCCCTTCTGAAGGTGTGCTTGTGCCTGCGATGGGGGAGGCTGTAGGAAGGGCTGGGCCAGGCGCAGGAGGCCCTCCCCGTGCTGCCTCCTGCCTGCTGGGGGCCCCCACTTTGGCCTCCTCCTGGGCTGCGCATGGGCACCTTCGCCCTCCCCCGGGGCCGCCGCCGTCATAGTCCCCCGGCCCTCTTCCTGTTGGGTTTTCGGCCTGTCAGCTCCCCAGTCCTCCCTTCCCCACTCCTCGCCACCTCCCCGCCCCCCGGCCCCCGGCCCCGACCCTGGCCTTGGCCTTTGCAGCACTCTCGCCTTACCTGCTGGCCCTGTGCGCCCTCCCCGTGCTCAGCCAGGGCAGACCCCTGGGTTTCCTCCAAGCTGGGGCCCGAGGTCAGGCCTTCGTGCCTGGAGTGGGGTGTGGCTCTTTGGCTGAGGGAGGGCACGGAGCTCAGGCCTCTGCTTGCAGCCGCCATTGATGAGGACGTGTTGCGCTATCAGTTTGTGAAGAAGAAGGGCTACGTGCGGCTGCACACCAACAAGGGTGACCTCAACCTGGAGCTGCACTGCGACATGGTGGGTATGGCGGCCGCTCCCCCCCTCCCCTTGTCCGGGGTTGTTTCCAGGGTCTCAAACATGGGGCAGCACTGAGGATGGGCTTGTAGTAGAAAACTGTCCTCTAGAAGGTGCGGGGTCCCCACTTCCCCCACAGAAGAGACCCTGCCAGCCAAGGGCTGCGTTTCCTCTGCCCAAGTCAGGGGGCAAATGTACCCAACTCACACACCCTGCGGCCCTCACTCTTGGGCTTGGCAGCTGCAAGTCTTGTTTAGCACCATGGGTCTGTACCGTGTTTGGGCAGGGCAGCTGACCCTCTCCCACTGCACAGTCAGGGCCTGGGTGGCATTCATGGCCCTCCCTTGGCTGCCTCATGCCTCACCCAAGTACCTGCGCTATTTTGCAGACACCGAAAACCTGCGAAAACTTCATCAAGCTCTGTAAGAAGCAGTATTACGATGGCACCGTCTTCCACAGATCCATAAGGAACTTCATGGTGAGTGACGTGAGCTGGCACTGGCCTCACAGGACCAGATGCGTCCTGGAGGTGACTTCTGTTGTGTGGGGGAGCCCTGCCCCTTGAGTGCCCAGCCTGGCCACACGGGGCTTGGGCAAGAATGGGCCCAGAAGGGCCTCTGTCCTCACCAAGAGCTCAGGCCCCTTTGGGCCCATCTGGCAGGTGGGAATGTGCAACAGTGGGTGGTAGCGGAGGGGCCGCGGGGTCACGGGGCATGGCTTGCTCACTGGCATTTGTTCTTCCTGCAGATCCAGGGGGGTGACCCCACTGGCACAGGCACAGGTAGGCACTGGGGCTCCCTGAGCAGCTGCGGCTGCCCCCTAGGCCGTGAGGGGGGCAGGTGGATGGGGGCCATGCTTGGAGTTCCAGATGTGAGCTCTGGTAGACCGGCCACCAGGGTGCTGTGACCTTGGGCATGTCCCGCTTTCCTCATTTGGAAATGGCTGTAAGGGCCAGGTGGTAGGTGGAAGTGGGAGCCCGGCGCCTCTGCAGGGCGCTGGGCACTGGGCACCGGGGCGTGTGTCCGGGAGCCCACAGCAGAGGGAGGCTGTGCTCCGCACCACATGTCTGGCTGTCCTCCCACTGCCTCCCAAAGCCCCCTCAGCCTGTCTGCTGCTTGGGCCCACTCCCCTGCCCTGTGGGTGAGCAGTGACGATGTGTGACCTTTCCCCTCAGGCCCAGGGCTGCCTCCTGCTGGCTGCGCTCAGCTAGCACCCAGTCATTCTGGCTGCCAACCACGCTCCTTTCTGTTCCAGGTGGGGAGTCATACTGGGGCAAACCCTTCAAAGATGAGTTCAGGCCCAACCTCTCACACAAGGGCCGGGGCATCCTCAGCATGGCCAACTCGGGGCCCAACACCAACAAGTCTCAGTTGTGAGTTGCTGGGTGGCTATGGGGTGGGTCTGGCACTCCCCGCAGGTTCCCCCTCAGCCTTGCTTTGAAGGTTGTGCTTGACCTGAGTCCAATGAAGGTGTCACACCACAGCTGGGGAGATGGGGGATGCGCACACAACACAGCCCAGACGAGACCTGCCCGAGGGCAGGTGTGTGCACTTAGGTGCAGAGCAGGTTAGCAGCAGCACTGCACCTCGGGGCATGTGCCTGCGAGGAACAGGTGTCAGGAGTTCCCAGGAGATGCAGAAAGGCCTGGAGCAGGTGTCCCAGGAAGCCGGTGTGGGCTTGGGTGTGGGCAGGGAGGGGCAGCCCCAGTCCTGGAAGGGGGTTAAATTGAGGCCTGGCTGCGATGCACCTACCTGGCTTTCTGGGAGGGGGGTTCCATGTAGGTGGGGGTTGGTTTTAGTCAGCCCTAGTCATCCTTCCTTAGGAGCTTAATGATTTTGTTTCATTTCTTACGGTTTTTGAAAATCATTAATTCCTACTTGTACTTTCGTGAACTCTAGTCATTTTTTATTAGGTGCTTTGTATTTTTCTTGCGAAGACCTTTAAGATAAGTCATCTATATTCCAAATGATTTTTTAAAATACTATGTATTCCAGGATAATTTGTATTTTTCAGTTGTACTTAAGGGGGTCTCCTGGAAATTTTGGAAGGTTTTAATTTTTTTGGAGGCAGGAAGGTTTTATTTTTGTATATGAATGTGCACAAAGCAATTTTATTTTCTTCCAGTTGTGCTAGCATCACTTATAGAGTAATCCTTTTTCCAAATTATAGCCTTGCCGTTGACTATTGCAGAGTGAGGTTGCCCATCTGAGCTCTTACCTTCGTCAGGTTTGGCTGCTCAGCCCCAGGCCTCATGGGCACAGGGCGGGCAAGGAAGGGCTGGACAGCCTGGGGCTCTGGGCCTCTACCCTACGGAGCGCCCGCAGGGTGGAACCCTTTTGTATCAAGGGTCCCCGAGCTTAGAGGTGGCTAGCTTGTGCCCAGTGGCCTTGGGGGACGAGGCAGGTTGGGGTGGGGGGGTAAGCTCTCACACCCTTCCTGACCCCCCTGCCGTCCTCCCCAGCTTTATCACCTTTCGCTCCTGCGCTTACCTCGACAAGAAGCACACCATCTTCGGACGGTAAGCGAAGTTCCTGCATGAGGCCTGGGGTGTCAGCGAGGGCGGGCCTCTTCCCCGACCGGGGCCTCCTGCTGCCTTTTCTCTAGGCTTGGCCTGACACTCCTTTATCCTCCTGACTGTCCCTACCAAGGTCATGGCCATGCTGAAGTGGGGACTTGGGGCTTCTCTGTTGGTCAAGGGACCTCAGCTAAGGAGAGGTGGCTAGCTCTAGCCCTGCCTGGTGGCTGTCCTGCTCAGAGTCAGCCGCTCGGTTCTCCTTTGGGCGACCCTGAATCACACGTCTGGGCCACCTCCTTTCCATCCTTTCTTGTAGGGGTCAGCAGCCTTTTCTTGTAAAGGCCCAGGCGGTACTTCCAGCTTGTGGCCTCACGGTCTCTCTCACTCCTCAGCTTTGTGGTTGTGCAAAAGCAGCTGCAGACGATGTGGAAGCAGCGGGTGCGGTGCCCTTATAAAGGCTTGACCGGCAGCCCGCTGGGCGTGCCTTTCAGGCCGCTCCGCTCCCGACCTGTGGTCCTGCCCTGGCCCTGTGGGTCTTTCTGAATCCAGCCTGTGCGCCCTGCGTGTGTGCGGCCTTCACGGGCCCTCAGCCGGGCCCGTTCTCAGCCCCCCTTCCTGGCATGCCAGGACTTGGCCTTTGTGGGGAGTGTCCTGAGCCAGGCATCTTAGGGGGCCCCTTCCCTCTGCTACAGGGTTGTAGGGGGCTTTGACACACTGACGGCCATGGAGAATGTGGAGAGTGACCCCAAAACCGACCGCCCTAAGGTATGTGCCCTGGGAGCACAGAGGGGCCACTGCTCAGGCCGGGTGGGCGTGGGGGTCCTGTTGTCTCCCGCCAGCCCTGCCCACCTGCCTCCCCTGCTGTAGGAGGAGATCCGCATTGACTCCACCACGGTGTTTGTGGACCCTTATGAGGAGGCCGATGTTCAGGTGAGGAGCGTGTCGCTGCCACTTGGGGAGGGGTTTGGGGGAGTCCTTTCCAGCCCGAGGGGCTCTGGGCCAGCCGCCACCCTGCCCCACCACAGATCGCCGAGGAGCGGAAAAAGACACAGCTCGAGGAGGCCGCCCCAGAGACCACAGTGAAGAAAAGCCAGCCCAAGTCAGGGAGCCAGGGCCCCCCGACGTACCGCCAGGGGGTGGGCAAGTACATCAACCCGGCAGCCACGTGAGTGGGGTGGGCGCTGGTGTCCGTGTCCATGGTGCGCTTTACACGCTTGCCGATCCCACAGGTCAGAGCCTGCTGGTGGTGAGGAAGTAACGGGCACCGGGCTTGAGCAGTGAGCGGGTGCTGGGAGGCCTTGGGAAGGCTGCAGAGGTCACACTCGGGGTGGGGGTGATGTGGAGACGCATGGCTCCCACCTTGGGGCCTGACGGCAGCTGGAGTCCGGCTCGTCTCTTCCCAGGAAACGTGTAGCGGACGAGGAGCCATCAACCAGTGCAGCTGTCCCCGTGGCCAAGAAAAAGCCCAGCCGAGGTTTCACGGACTTCAGCTCATGGTAGCGGCGGCAGGCCTGCTGCTCCGGACCCCGGTAGGGACGCGGTGCTGGGGCTCGAGGTTTCTGCCCTTGTGAGCCTGCCCTTTGGGCGGCGACTCAGTAAAGCACTGGTCTTGTGCCTGGGTCCCCTCTTGTGACCCTGGGAGCCCGGGGGCTCCCTCACGCGGCGCGGAGGGCGCCGGCCCCGTCAGCAGGCCTGGGCGCAGCCAGAGCCTGCGTCCTGACCAGGCCCTGGGTCCGGAAGAAGCGCTGTCGTCTCCTGACCCCAGTTTTCTTCCCATCACCACCCACTTCTATCGTCTTTTTGGGGACCATCGACTCAGTGTGGTCCCCAACCAGCAGTGTTACCTGGAACCTTGTTAGCAACAGTCTCAGACCCCAGCTCTTGCAACCCAGAGGGTAGGGTGGGGCTCTGAGGCCTGTGCTTTGATGACTGTTGGACTAGAACCTTGATGTTACTTCCAAAAAACTTCCCTGCCACGTCTTGCTTGGGTTTGTTGAGTCCACCCCAGCAAGGACCGTGGGCGGTCATAGCCCTGCTCCGCGGCAGCCGCCTGCTCCGGCCACCCTGGCTCTGGGTGCTACCTCAGGCCCGCCCACCTCTGTGCCTCAGGATGGCCATGGGCCCACGCGTGGGTGAAGACAGCTGGCTCCTGATGGCCGTGCCCCCTCGCCCACCGCCTTTCCGCTCCTGTGCTCTCAAACAGCGACCTTCAGCCCCAGCTCTCCGGGCCAGCCGTACCAGCATTTGCTCACTTAAAAATCCCTTTCCTGATCCTATAAATGTCTTTAAAAAACCGACTCCTGGCCGTCCGGCCTTGTTTCCTGTTCACCGTGCAGCCCGTGCCAGCCTGACCTCCATGCTCCTGACCCAGGCACCGCTACCTCAGCTTTTCTGGAGGGCCCCTGTGGAAGTGTGGGGACAGCTGCCTCCTCCCAGGTCCCCATCTCCTCTAGCCCTGGGTTCTGGACGGGTCACCTCTCACGCCCGCCCTCAATGCCTGCGGTCCTCCTGTTGGCACAGGCCGCTGCCCCTCCCGTTCGTCACATCGAAGTTCTAACGCGGCTCCATTCTTGGTTTCTCTCTTTTCCCTCCTCATCCAACACCTCATTTCCATCAGGAAGTCTGGACAACTTCCAGAATGTACCTTGGCTCGCTCCCCAGCTCTCATGCTGAACACCAGGCCCAAGCCCTTTGTCCCCACCGTCCTCTGTCTCTGCCTCTCCCTCTCGTGCACGTCCACACAGATGCCGAGCCACCTTCCCAAAGCTCCCGGGCCCGCCATCTTGCCGCAGGACAGAGACTGGCTCTCCACTGGGCTGAGAATAAGGTTTGTGCCCGCCTACAGCCCGTCCCTCTGACTGGCAACGGGGGACCTGGGCTCTGCAGAGCGACTGCCTAGCTCCTCTGCAACTTCAGCCAGACAGCAGCCCCTCCCTTCACGCGCCCGTCACACTGCAGACGGCTGAGACCTCGTTGTGAGGGGCTGTTTGCACCAGCACTAGCCCCAAGAGCCTGGCTCACACAGGGAGGGCGGGCGGGCAGGGTGGGGGCAAAGACCCGGGGGTGGGGGGAGTACAGTGGTACCAAGGTCTCCTGTGCTCCTCGGGGGAGGCGGCTAGCCCTCAGCAGTCCAGAAGCAAGCCTTGCGTGCGGCTTAGCCAAAGCCCTGTAACTACGTGGTTAGGCTTTCTCGGGCCATGCTCACAGGCCCCAAACAGGTCGTGAGCCCTGCAACCAGCGTCCCAAAGGCCGTACCTGCGTGTGACAGCGCAGGATGGGAACTGCCTACAGAAAGGAGACCCCGGACCCCTTTGCTTGGGGGGAGCTGCACAGCAGCACGGCCCTATCCCTCAGCATCAGAACAGAGCACCCAAGACACACGTGCTGCTGAAAAGGAGACACTGGACGTGGGAGCTTTATTTTTAAACCTCACACAGACACACAGGACCAAGGGCTGGACACAGGGAGGCCGAGGGAGGCTTGTGCGCTCGAGCTTGGCAGGCCTGCTCCGAGGGGTGGGCCCCCGGGCCAGCCGGGCTGCAGCCCCAGGGAGCTGCCCCACAGCGGGAGGACAGGCCGGCCCAGGGCCTTTGACAGACGAGGCTTTACGTTTCTATAGGCTGCTGTGGAGTTTAAATTGTGGTTGTCCAGAAATTAAGACCACTTGGATTTTTTAAGTACCTGGTGAGGTCATCAGGTAAATTAAAGGACTTCTGAAAAATTCCCATTTCTGATCCTTGCTAATATCTGACAGATGCCATCAAGAATAAGTGTTAAGGTATAAAAATACTATATTTATGTATATATAAAATGGCAACAAAACTAAACCACATTTCTAAAGCAAATGTACTGTGCCAGAGGACATGGCATAGTTTTATGTTAAATGCATTTATAATCCTGGCATCACCTCCCCCTCTTCTCAAGGAAAAATATTTTAAATAAATAAAAGGGGATGATAGTGTTTAGGATTTTTAAGAGGGTGGAACGTTCCAGCACTTTACCAGCATGTCTAGTTGTGGTCTTGTGGGTGTCCTTCCCTGAAGCCAGCTCATGGTCAGTTCATTTGGTTTCAAAAGGAACTCGGATTTTGCAGAAGACAAACAAAAAAGTGGTAAGAGTATTTGTATCAATTACAAAAAAAAAAAAACAACACAAATAAGTCATAACACCATAGGAAAAAGGTTTCGATGCCATCACGAGACTATACAAAAACCAAAGTGCTCAAATGGAAGGAGCAGTAAATTTGCCCAGAACATATAAAAGCTTTAGATATAAGTTTAGTATATACAAAAACTGGTCGGAAGAATTTTAGAAGAGTCCTCGGTTCACGTGGAGACCTCACGGAGGAGCGCTCAGGGGTCGCTGCCCTCGGGCGGCAGTGGGTGTCACACAACCCCGCCCTGTCTGCCTGGTCCCCAGAGTGTCCAGACGCGGCACTGAGGATCACAGAGGGACCAAACCAAGAAGGGGGAGGTCAGTTTGGGCCAAGTTTTCAATAATTACTACTCACTTCTCACGGGAGGTGTCCTCCGCATTTTCCCCAAGGACTGAGCTGCAGGAGTTTGCCATTTCACGTGCCAGTGCACCAGCGCAGTGTCTTCCGACTTCCGATCATGGCAGCAAGTGCCCTGTGAGTGACAGCACCCTGGAGGCCAAGCGGCTGCCGCAGCTGAACTTGAGACACTTGGATACATGGGATGTGCTGGGATAGCCTAGATTTCTGGGGCCAGCAGTTCAAAGAAGCAGCGGCCCGCCAGAGCGCCTGCTGGCGCAGAGATCTCCCGCCACAGCGGGGCAAAGATCTTCCATCAGTCGAAGATGGGCGACGGAGGTTCCTCCGTGTGCTGACTCGCCCTGGTGTCCCTGCGCCCAGGGCAGCAACGTTTCCCGTGCTGCAAGGCTTTGAGACTGAGGCGGAGATGGTGCCGAGAGGGAGGCTCCAGGTGAGCAGCTGAACCAGAACCGGGCAGGGAGCCCACGGCCTGTACGGACCACGGCTCCAGGCTCGGGAGGCTGGAGTCAGGGAGAGGGCGCAGGCTCGCTGCCACTGGACAAAGCTCCCCAGAGGGCAGCTCCTGCGCCGTCCTAATGGCTGAGAAACAACGGGCACACTGCTCTCCTTTCTCCCTGCCTCCCCAGGCCCTTTTCAGGTTCAAATAGTAAAAAAACAAAACTTATTTGGGAATGTTTTTTGGCCTCCATTTTCTGCAAATTGGCCAAAACCCCTGCGTACTGCCCACTCCCTGCAGAAGCCCGGTGGACTGAAACTTAAACTACAGGGTGGAAACTCAGGACTTAGGAGGCTGCCCGGGCCCCTTCTGGGTCAGCCCATAAGACAGAGCCAAGCAAGGCAGGGCGACCCGTTGAGCAAACCAAACATCTCATTTACAAAGTTTACGTCTGTCTCGCAACTTCAAACTTTTCTGAAAACATTAAAACAAACTATCAAATCTGAAGTTTGAAAGTTTATCCTGTTAGTTCTGGCTTCTTTCATATGTAAAAATAATTATTTTTCTTCAAGTACATCAGAGTAGGAAGGAAATCCGATTCACTCGGTCCAGTGTGTTGAACTATTATTACTCCATGGACCAGCCACCCAGGGCCAGACTCACACAGAAGCCCCACCTCGGGAGCCCTGTGTCCAGGACTGTGGCCCTTCGCTAGCGACTAGCTCACTTGCTTTCTAGATGAGAAAGCTATTGGCTTAAATAAACAAGATGATCCATTGGACACATTTCTCTATTTAGAGCTTATCTAAAATGTTATCACTGGCATCCCCTGTTTCTGAACAAGGCTGGAAAAAAAAAAAAGCACGCTTGGTGTATACAACAGATTTGTTGACTGCTTCTGGAAAATTCTGAAATGAGCACTATGACTTAACAGCTCATTCATAAGCAAAATAACCAATTTGTAATTTTGTAAATTAGGAAACCAGTGGACTATAAAACCTTCACTCTAAAAAATGGGTAAAACCTGCTCCCTAAGAGACCTTGTCCCTGTGGTCTGCAGAGATTCAGCTTGGTTTCTATCAAACACGAAAGAGCACAGCCAAACTGTATCTTAAAGGCGTAGGTTAAAGAAGGTATGAACTATATGGATAAGTCATCAGGTGGTTAATTTTTTCTCTAGAACTTGAAACATTAGAAAAAGGTCATTGAAATATTTCAGAAACGACCAAGTACATGAAGAGGACATAGACCGGATGGAGCCTTACCCATGGGAACGGCCAGGAGAGGCTGGCTTGCAAGGTTCAAGGTCAAGAAATATTGTCATCCAGGATGCTCCTATGTTTTCATTACATTACAGTCTCTTTCACAAAACAGTATCCAAAAGAGAACAGGAAGTCTTCACTTTACTCCCAACCATTGTCTTTGATCATGTGGGCAAGCTCAATAATAAATTTTCCTTCCTTATATTTCTGACTGCTCTCAAAAGCATGTTCCTTGGGGGGGAAAAAAAAAGTAGAGACAGAAGGTTTCAGGACAAACTCTGCTTCATTTTTCAACTTCATCACACTCTGTGCAGAGGAAATAAGTCTACAGGACGTGTCTCCCCAGGGGTTCCCTGCGCCAGGCTCATGGCCAGGAGGTGTCTGTCACGGGTGACAAGCCCATTGAGGGCGGTGCAGGCCTGCTGTACACTTGTCACCAAGTTATGATGGAACTTACAGGGACATTATTTCAAATTTGTTCCTGAGCACCTACCACGTGCAGGGTAACTCGGGAGGCAGGACGAGGAGCACTGCCCCTCCCTGGGACCGCAGGTGAAGGGAGAATGAAGGCACTGCGCCGAGAGCCCGGGCATAGCTCAAAGGTGCTGCCGGGAGGGGGGCCCTCCCTCGGGCCGTGTTCAGGGACGGGACGGAATGGCCACGCAGGTGCAGGCCTGGGTGAGCATGCAGACCTCGCTAAGCCTATTTCTGTGCTGGGGGCTGTGTCCCCTCATATAGGACACAAGCAATGATCAAGAATTTTAGGAGGGCCCTGGCTGGCATGGCTCAGTGGATTGAGTGCTGGCCTGCGAACCAAGGGGTCACCGGTTCGCTTCCTCGTCAGGGCACATGCCTGGGTTGTGAGCCAGGTCCCCAGTGGGGGGGTGTGTGTGCAGGAGGCAGTCGCACATTCGTGTTTCTTTCCCTCTCTCCCTCCCTTCCCCTGTCTAAAATAAATTTAAAAACTTAAGAAAAAAAATGGATTCCAGGAGGGAGAGCAAGTAGCCCTGACGAAAACCAGAACAGCTGCAGAAGACAACTATCAGGAAGGCAGGTGCCACACCAGACGGGCTTCCCAAATGCCGAGCCTGGGGGTAGGGGTGTGCACGAGACGGCCGGGGGCCCAGGGTACGTGGGACGAAGCTGGGGCAGAGGCCCAGTTTGGGAGTTGTCAACAGAAAAGAAGTCAAAACAAGCTGAGATCAGAGGAAGATCAGCCAGAAAGGTGGGGGGAAGACGGAAACAGAGAACAGGGAAGAGGAGAGACTTCCCACAGCCAAACGTTCAGCGAACAGAGACAGGCCGGGCCTTGGCCACGACGGTGCCGCCTGCGTCTGCAGGACGCCGGGGGTGGAGTGGGGTGGGGGGAGCTGACAGAGTTATTAGGCTGAAGACGGTGCGGGATGGCAACGTGGAGCACAGGGGCCAGGAGGAAGGGGCTGAAAATAAGAGCCTGTGGGCAGAGGGGGTTCTAGACAGACGAGACGCCAAGCACCGCAGAGGGCCTGCTGTGATCGCTGTCGCAAAGTAACCTCACCAGCAACCACCCCCGCCCCGCAATACCGGCCAGCCAGTGAGCGTCCCCCGGATGAATGGGCCTCCCCTTGCTCCATGGGACCAACAGGTGGCTCGGGTCTGTGGGGTGCGCCCCAGCCCTGCGGGTGCAGGCATGTCCATATGCCCCAAAACCTCTCAAAATTCTTTTAAAACATGAACCCTTTGACAGGATCACACTTCCGGGGGAGATCTTACACCTTTGCAAATTTTGTTTTCATATTTAAGTGTTTTGTTTATTCTAGTAACTCTGAGCGTTCTCCGAAATGTCAGAACGAGGCGGTTACTCACATATTTCCACCCGAGTGTGGTTTTGCAGTTCTCACAGTAGATGTCTGCGACAGCGTGCAGGCCAGTGAGGAGGACTCTCTCCTCTGCGGGGCCACAGCCCACGTTCACCCTGCGGGAAGAGGAAGCAGGTGTTGGAGACCCTGACCCCTGGAGGGGGCCTGGGCTGGCAGCAGCAGTTCCACCCCGGCCTGGGGGGCCGCCCTGGCTCCCACCCTGGGTGGTGACTTTTTGAGCCAAATGGTTACCAGAGACGCAGCCTGGTTTCTTCTTAACTCTCTGCCTCCCCCAGTGCCTGCCTGCCACTGCCTCTTATGAGATGGAACTTTTTATTCCCCGCGAGAATCCCAGGACGGGGCAGCAATGGGGTGCTGGCCGCGGCTCTGCTGTAGCAAAACCCAAAGCCTTCCACAAATGGCAAACACACCACAGCGCGTGCGGGGCTCATTCCTCAGTCATGAGCCTTATGCTTTTCCGAAACGCTCAAGACGAGAGAGAGAATTCTTTTAAGATCATGTAAGAGACCCTGTGTAATTTTAGAGCACTGGTGAACACTATTTATCTATTCCAGCTCCGAGTAATTAAACGGCTAGACAGAAGCAATAAATGTGGCCTGACAGTGAACACAGCATGTCTGCGCGGCTAAGCGGCAGCAATACTCACACAGAGTTGAAGAGGTAGGCGCGTCCCTGACTTCCCTGAAAGGACTGCAAAGAAAAAAAAAAAGTTTTCAAAAATTGGTTGTGAGAAGACAAAAAATGATGGTGAGTTTTGCAGCTTGGAACAAAAAGTGGAGAAGCTGGGTTTCGGGGCAGGGGGCGCAACAGGAGCCGAAGGGCTGCCCCGCAGGGCGTGAGGGGCGGCGCTCAGGGCCCTGAGTGGGACAAGCATCCTCCCAAAAGGAGGGCGCGGCCCCCAGAGCCCCCGAGGGGCTGCTCAGGCGTTCCCACTCGCTCCGCCAGCACAGGACGCCCCGTGCCTGTCAGGTGTTAGGAGCAAGGGGACAGTTTCATGCTTTTCCACTGAAATAAAAACAAAGTCACAGCCCAAGATGGCCCCTTATTTGGAGGAAAGAACAACTCACCCCAGGAAAGTGTTACAAGCCAAGAAAGAGCTTACAGTATATTTATGTACTCTCAGGTGATCTGGGGGGCAGACTGGGGTATCAGTGCCTCCCCTGATATAATCGGGTCGGTCCCAGACCGAGCCCCCACAACCGTCACCCCCTGGGAACAGGGGCACCACCGGCTGGGGGCTCGCCTGCTCCCATGCCAGGCTCAAAGGACCAACTACAACAGACGCCTCCCAGAGTCATCAGTGAAATGCAAACCACATCAAGAACACTGTCTTGGTTTCTTTGCCTGTCACCTAGGCCAAGCTCAAAAGGCTGTGGGGAAGGCTGACGGGAGCACAACCTGACTCTATCAGCAGCACGTGAACAGTACAAAGGCGCACACCGAACGGCCCGCGGTCCCACTTCTAAGAACTGACGGTAAAGAACAAATCAGCTTGAGTGCACAGGGAAGTGTGACAAGGACAGTCACCATTAGTGTTTGCAAACACAAAAAACACGGGAGACAGGTACCCACTAAGGAGTGAGTGAACAAGTGCATTCACTTCACATCCGGGACCCGTGCACACATTGCAAAGGAGACAGGAACAGGTCGGTGTGAGTGCACGTGCAAAGACAGTCATAGAATACCGTTCAGTGAAGAAAGCTACCTGTGAAATGACGAGTCGAGAGCCCTTTACTTAAAGTGAAACGGCTCTGGCTGGCCTGTGAACCAAAAGGCTGCTGGTTCAACTCCCAGTCAGGGCATGTGTCTGGGCTGCGGCCCCGGTACCCGGGTTGGGGCGTGCGAGAGGCTGCCGCTTGATGTATCTCTTGTACACAGGTGCTTCTCTCCCTCTTTTCTCTTTCCCTCTCCCTCTCTCTCTAAAAGTACTTAAATAAAATTTTTTAAAAAAAGTGAAAAGATGTTCCCATGGACATACACACAAAAAACAAAGAAAAACAAAACCACCAAACAAAACAACAACAAACTAATAAGTGACAACTTTAAGAATGGAGTTGGGATAAGGAAGAAGGAAAAAGTAATTCTCATTTACTTTATACACACACATCACTTTAATGTGTAATCACAAATAAGTTTCTTTCATAATTGAAGAACCCCAGCTGACCCATGATGAACATCTCACCTAAGCAAAAAATAAAACAAAAAACAAACAAAAAAACGTTTAAGCCACTGAGATTTGGGTTTTTTTTGTTTCTGCAGCAAAACCAAGCCTGAGACTAAGCAGTGTTTTGATTTAAATATACAGCTTTCACACTTAAAATTGTCTTCCCTTCAGTGGCTTCCTAGAATAAGGAATATTATTTTATGCACAGCCTAACGATGAAATCATCTTATGGACTTTTCACACATTCCTATCTGTCCTCAATTTTCTAGGCTGATTTTCCTAATTCTCACCTATTCTGCAGGTGCTTATTTTTTACCCAGGGTTCAGATCAAACGTGATCAGACCTGTGGTTCAGATCCAGGCCACAGTCTGACTACAGCAGAGCTCTGCAAACTATTGGAAATTAGAGCCAGGTCAATAATTTAGGCTTTGGGGGACACATACCCTTTGTTGCAACTATTCTGTCAGGGCACGAAAGTAGCCACAGATGATCCAGAAAACTTTACAAAAATAAGTGGTCTGCCAGGAGTGACCTGCAGGTATAGTCTGCAAATTAGACAGAGCCTTCTAGTAACCTGACCTGCCTACACCAAGATGGCTTTTCTGGGCCAGGGCCTGCCTGTTAGTGCAAAGGTGGGCCCAGAGGCCGGTGAGCCCCTCAGGGAAGCACCGCTAGCTTCGTATGAATTGGTTCTGCTCTGTGATAAGCGTTTTGAAATAACAATGTAAGGCAGTGATTTTCAACCAGTGTGCTGCAAGAATTTTTAAAACATGCAGTACCTGACGGAGCACTGACCTCTTTTCAAATAAAAAAAATTGACAACACTAACATGACAGTAGCTCTCCAGTGTGAATGAATCAAAATTATTATATTTTTTTCTCAGGCAAAAAAATCTATTTTGGATTACGCTGCAGAACCTTAGTTTGTGTGTGCCATGTGACCCAAAAGGTTGAAAATCACTGATGTGGGGAGAAAAAGCAGCAGTTTCCTTTGTCACCACTGGAAACACGAGCTGACACCCTTCGCGGCCCGTGTGCTGGGACAGTTTGGGTTCTCAGCGCCCTTTCGTCCTAACGCGCTCCCTCAAGGTCTTGGCTATTCCCGCCTGGCAGGCCTCTGCTCTTAATGTGATTTGAACACCAGCTCAACGGCCTGAGGGCTCTTTGGAAGCAGCAGCTCCGCTCCTCAGCCCACCTCAGGTGGATTGCCCTCCATGCGTCAGAACAAAGGCCAGAAAGGTGCCTGGCTTCGGTGTCAGGGGCTCAGCCACGGGACACTGAGCCCCATCCTGGAGGTCGTGGAGTGAAGTCCTGGAAAGCAGCCAAGAAACCAGGTGCCTGAGGCACTGCCACTTCTGACCGGAAACCTCTGAAGGGACAAAGGAGCCACAGAAGCAATGAGAGAACAGAAATTCTGCCTTAACAGTTTTGATTTTAAATGATGAACAGAAATGAGACAACCTCTCATTATTACCTTGTAAGAACACAAGTAGATAAATGCTCTACTTGAGTCAAACAAGCCTAAGTGGGGATTCCTATGAGGCACAGCTTCCTGATGGACTCTGTTTTTGAAAGAGCTCGAGGTTCACGGAGCCCAGAGAAACAGGCCTGGGAGGGTGGGCGGGAGGCGGGGACCCCGCCTTGGGAAGGTGGGTGGGTGGGTGGGTGGACAGGGCTGTCACTGCTTGCAGAGGGGACATTCACTCAGCCACTATGTTTGGATTGTTTTAAAAGTTCACAAGAGGTTGATTATGAGCATTGCATCCAGCTAATAAGCAGTTCTTCCTAACAAGAAAGGATGGGTTCCGTCCTGGGCATTTTCCTGAAAGATCCCATTTTCCACCCGATAGCCTCATTTCTTAACCATTCTAAATTTTAAAAAAGTCTGAATTCCCATCTTATTACACTATTTCCCCAGATTTTTTGACTTCCTGTTCCTTCCGTGGCTCTGGTTTCACGCTGCTTTACTGCTCGGGCCAAAAACGGACTCGCCTCGCTCTCCGGGCACCCGGGGCAGCCCAGCGGGCCGCCTGCCAAGCCCACCCGCCGGGAAAAGCTCGGGACCGCGCAGTGTGGCCACACATAATCATGCGCAAAACTTTCTTCAGCGCTGCCCCGAAGGCTCTAGACTTTCAGGACAGAGCAAACCTAGGCAGCCACGTGATGCTTCGTTATCCATCTACTAATGAGGAGCGATAATCGTTGTTAAGGAACCGCATCCACTACGAGACACAAGCCACTCGCCTTGGAGATCAGCTCGTCGTGATTGGCCAGGTGGGCTCTGCAGTGGACACAGCTGTACGTTCGGTGACAGTCTGGCAGGTAAGCTTGGAAAGTTTTGGACTTTGTCATCTTCACCATCTCTGCCGGGCACACGTCGCTCAGCTCAGGGCTGGCCCTGGAAGAACTGCGGCTCTGCTGGGCTCTCTGACAGAAGAAACACTGGAACATGCACGCAAGAGCCGTTGTCGTTCGGAGGACGTGTGGCGCTGTCCACACAGCTGCGGCGGGGGAAAAACGTCACAACCTGTCAATAAGACAAGACAAACGGTGAGTGATGGAGAGGTTGAAATACATCAAGAAGGTGTGTCTAGGATGCAGGTACTTGAAGAATGGGAGATGGGCTGGACTTTCTAGTTAAAGGTCTAGTCTTTTCACATTAATTGTGCTCCAAAAGAACACTTAAATCACTGTTTAACCATTTTAAACTCAGTTGAAAGTGGCAGATGAACTATTTTTACATACAAATAATTTGAGAAAAACATTTGATCAAATACACCTGACAGCAGCACAAGATGAATCTTGTCCCAAATCACAGAATTAACAACTCAAAGCACCATGACATATATGAATACAAATGATGGACCCACTATTAATTAATCTTGAAGAAACTGTATAGCAGTACAGAAATGAATCCTCGGATATGGTCAAATGATTTTCGACAAGGGTGCTGAGGCCATTCAACGGGGGGAAGGACATTCAACAAACGCTGCCGGGACGACAGGATGTCCCCATGCAAATGGGTGACGTTGGACCCTTACCTTACGCCATAAACAAAAAATACCTCCTCATGGATCAAAGGCCAAAATGAAAGAGGTAGAATTGTAAAACTCTTAGAATAAAATATACAAAAAAATTTTTATGACACTGGGTTTGGCAGTGGCTTCTTGGATGACACCCAAAGCGCAGTCGTGTGTAGATTTACAGGAAGTCAAGTGAGAAGAAAACGGGGCAGAGGTAAAATATGAAGAGGGAAAAATAAAAGACTGAGGATTTTCTAGAATATAAGACAGACACCAACCCCCAGCTTTCAGAAGTCCAACAGTTCCAAGTAGGAAAAATAAAAAAAAAAGTCACATCCCTGGCCACTTAATCAAACTGCAGAAAACCAAAGGAAAAAAAAGAAGCCTTATAAGTATCCAGAAGGGGAGGGAAAATTACCTTCCAACAGAAAAACGCCCCAAGGAAAACAATGGAACCCAGAAGGCAGTAGTGAAGGGACCTTTAAGGTTCTGAAAGGTAATAACCGCTCTTCCAAAATTCCACGTCCAGTGAAAATACCTGTCAAGGATTCGGAAAATGGTACTTTCAGGCAACTAAAAAGTTTGACCTCAGAAACATATCACTAAGGAAATTCAAGGATGGGCTTTGGACAGAAGAAAAACAACACTAGGTAAAGTCTAAACTTCAGACTCTAAAAGAAGGAAGAGTGAATAAAGAAAATGGTTAATATGCAGGTAGTAAAAAGAACAATGACTTGTGGAGCTTTAAAAAGATACGATTATAACACATGACAATAAGTCAGGGTGAAAACACAAACAAAAATGTTCTAGAGTCCTTCTATTGTCCAAAAAAAGAGTTTAGATTCTAGTAAATTAGGGAGAAATAGAACTTCTGACGAAACTTCTATACGAACAAAAGTGTGTAACTTCCAAAGCTAAAAAGGGCGCTATGAGGGAATGATGAGATGCCAGTCGAGCAGTGGTGTCCGACCTTTTTTTTTTTTTTTTCCCCCTTTTTGGCATTGCTGGGCCACCCTGGAGGAAGAGTTGTTTTGAGCCACACATTAAACACACAAACACTAATGAAAACTGATGAGGGGGAGAAAAAAGGCTTTCAGTAAATTTAGGTTTTTGTGTTGGGCCTCATTCCTCGTGCTTCTGGGCCGTGGGTGGACACCCCTTGAAAGGGCAGCAGGAAAGGAGAGGAAGAGAAACACGGCAGCAACGAGACGCACCGAGAAAGGAGGGGGACCTAAACCCAAATCTATCGATGCTCACATGAAATATAAATGGACTGCATGTTAGAGTTTAAGGTTCCAGACTGAGCAGGGGGCAAAATTCATCTAGATGTCATTTACAAGAGACACATCGTAAAGATAAAGACACAAAAAGGTTGAAAAGGCTAGAATGTGGGCAGTGGCAACGCAGAAGCATGATTTGTAATTATTTGTTAACAGTACATTTTTTAAAAATGCATTTCTTGTACCTTTGTGATTCACAATAAAGAAGTTAAAGTAGCCCTGGCTGGTGTGGCTCCATGGATTGAACACCAGCCCGTGAAACAAAAGGTCGCCGGTTTGATTCCCAGTCAGGGCACAGGCCTGGGTTGTGGGCCAGGTCCCTGGTTCAGGGTGTGCAAGAGGCAGCCAGTCTGTTTCTCTCATACATTGGTATTTCTTTCCCTCTTTCTCCTTTCCTTTCCCTCTCTCTAAAAATAAATAAAATCTTTACAAAAGAAGTTAAAATAGTTAAAGCAGAGAAAAAGATATACAGGGTGTGGCAAAAGTATGTTTACAGGAGTACGTAAAACAGAGTTTATTCTTGTATTATTTATTGTAATATTTTCTATATGAACAAACTGTAAACCTACTTTTGCCCCACCCTGTAATATGCAAATAATAAAATTTTACTAGACAGGTAAATGGGTTACTTCATAATAAAAACAGGAGATAAAATAGCAAGTATAAATCTTATTACCTAATAACAGCCTCAAAATACGTAATTGAAAAATTGACAGAACTAGCAGCCTCTTACACTGTTTTGTCTCCAAAATAAACTACTGAAATCAAACTGCAAAAGAGACAGAACTACAAGAAGAAATACATAAACCTGTAATCAGAACAGAATTACTACTTATGGTACACAAAGTATAAAGTATATTTCATATATATACTTAGTATACTTAGTGTTTATAGTATATATAAATACACAGTATATATAAGTACATAACATATACTTATGTGTATTTATATATGACAGTATATACATACTATAAAAATATTTATATTTTACTCTAGCTTTTCAGTAACTGATGGCACAGACAAGCCTAGATCTAGAGGGTTCGCACAGTGATGAAGAAGTTGCACCTACAAGACATGAGGAAAACTGAACAGCAGAATCTACACTTGTTTAAAGCACACAAGCATTCACAATACCCCAGCACACAATAACTACACAAATTCCCAAGGACTGAACTCATAGTATATTCTCTGACTACAATTAAGGTAGACATCAATAATAAAATATAACTAGAAAAATACCCATATGTTTAGAAATTAAGAAGTGTACTTTCTATATACATATGGGTCTGAGAATAATGGAAATCGGAAATTATTTTGAACAATAAAATAATAACTTGCCACTATATGAAAGGAAATGTATAATCTTATAGGGTATTATTAGAAAGTAAAAGGTAGAATTAAGGAGCTTAACACCCATGTTTGTTTTTATTAAATCCTCACCTGAGAATATATTTGTTGATTTTAGCGAGAGAGAAAATATCAGAGAAAAACATCGACCAGTTGCCTCTCATACAGTCTCCGATGAGGGATGGAACCTGCAACCTAGGTATGTGCGCTGACCATGGATCAAACCCACACCCTCCAGGCGTATGGGGTGACACTCCAGCCAACTGAGCCACATGGCCAGGGATAAACAGCCACGTTTAAGAAATGATAATAGAAAAACCACCCAAACGAAATATATGAAAGTAAATAGGGGAAAAAATGAAACAAAACAAAAACTTGGCCCTGGCTGGTGTGGCTCAGTGACTGAATGCAGGCCTTTCCACGGGTTCAAGGCCCAGTCAGGGCACATGCCTGGGAGGTGGCCGGGTCCCCAGTTGGGAGCATGTGAGAGGCAACTGATCGATGTGTCTCTCTCCCTATCTTTCTCACGTTGATGTTTCTCTCCCTTTCTCCCTCCCGTTCCCTCTCTCTAAAAAAAAAAACCAAAAAACAAAACTTGAACACACTAGAGAGGCTTAACAAAGCCAAAAGTTAGTTTGTACAAAAATCAAGTAAAATTGCCCTGGCTGGTGTAGCTCAGTGGATTGAGCTCCAGCCTGTGAGCCAAAGGGTTGGTGATTTGATTCCTAATATAGGGCACACGCCTGGGCTGCAGGCTGGGTCCCCAGCAGGGGGTGCGCGAAATGCAACCACACATTGATGCTTCTCTCCCTCGCTTTCTCCCTCCCTTCCCCTGTCTAAAAATAAATAATAAATAAAGTCCTTAAAAAAAAAATCAAACAAAACTGACAAACCTCTGGTGAGACAGATCGGGGAGAGAGGGGGAGAGATCAAATAGAAATGGAAATGGAATATCACACTTTTGGGATAAGATTCCTGGACAGTAGGATGATCAATTTAAGTCAATATATTTAAAATGGAAACCACAGGACTTCTGGTCAAGATGGTGGCATAGGCAGGCATGGCTCGCCTCTTTGCACAACCACATCAAAATTACAACTAAAATATAGAACCACCATCCCTCAGAACCAACAACTACGGCCACATCCATGCCCTGGCTGGTCTCTCTGGACTGAGTGCTGGCCTGCGAACCAAAGGGTCGCTGGTTCCATTCCATGTCAGGGCACATGCCTGGGTTGCGGGCCAGGTCCCCAGTGAGGGGCATGTGAGGGGCAACCACACAGTGATGTTTCTCTCCCTGTCTTTCTCCCTCCCTTCCCCTCTGTCTAGAAATCTTAAACAAACAAAAAAGAAAAAGAAACCACATCCGTCCAGGCTGGCAGGAGAGGCGCAGACCTGGAACAGGCTGGATCCACATCCACGTGTGGTGGATAAAAATTCGGGAGGGATCACTCAGGAGCGAGGAGTCCCAGCCCCACACCAGGCCCCCCAGCCCAGGGCTCCAGTGCCAGGAAGACAAGTTCCCACAACTCCTGGCTGCAAAAACCAGCAGGCATTGAGTCGGTGGAAGAAACTCCTGGAGTCCCAAGCAGTTCCTCTTAAAGAACCCACATGTGGACTCACCTGCTCAGATTCGCTCCCTCTGAGATCCAGCACTGGGGTAGCAGCTTGAAAGGCATCAATTATATACAGGGGGAAACGAAGTATCTGGCATCAAGGTGAGCAGAGGCCACTGTCTCTATTCTAAACCGTCTCCCCACAGAACTGGCAAACTGGTGCCACATCTGAGACTCCATCAACCGGGCTAACACTGTTTGACCCGCCTTGGAAATCCTCAGAGACCCTTCCCCACCCCACTTACAGGCCCACCCA